ATAGCCCAGCTACATGCGCCCTGTCCTTTTACTGCCTCACAATCATGGTGGCACAAAGAAGCCCTTTCCAATACTAAAGGAGCCACCTGAACCTAGGTAAGGACAGCAGGTGCCTCTGAGGCTCACCTACTTGCTGGTAGCAAGGTCTGCAAGGCTGACTGAGCCAGGTGAGGCTGGCAGGGAAGGAGGTGGGCACTGTCTTTTCCCCTTACTTCATTGTTATCCTTTATCCCCCTCATGCCTGACAAGTTACAACACACCATTTTCTGGGTACAGGAGGAAACTGTGCCCTTCCTTTTTTTCTACTTTGTGCCTTGAAAGATGCCCCCACCCCAGGCTGGGCAAGGCTGGTTGCAGAAGGGAGCTGAGCTGTGGACTCGGGATCTTATGGTGGGCAAGTGCTCCATTTGCTGCGGCTTACACAGTGCACCCTCCGTCCCAAAGATGTTTACATCAATCACACATTCAAGGCCTGCTGGTTCCTCTTGATTTCATCTTTCCTTTGAGGTCTGTTGGTTTTGAAAAGAAATTCAAACGACTCTTCCTGTATGACTTTTCCTTTTATGGCTTTCAGTTTCAGGAGAAATGGATCCCTTTTTCTCTCTTCTCTGGATGTACCTCTGAGGAGTTATAATCTGCTTTTTCATATCTGCAATCAATTAACTACAACCTCTGTTTTTGTTACATTCTTAGCATTTAGTACACAAAAGAAACCACTTTTCACTTTACAGAGAGCCAAGGACACTGGGCTTCACCTTGGGAATGAAATGCAGATTTCATTAAAAGGAAAGATCCTTCATTCCAAAAGGTTGAATAGAAAGAACCTGAAGCAAAATGCCAGCCACTTAAGTTGAGAAGGCTGAATTCAGTAAGGTAAAGGAACTTTGCTGAACACCACCATTTCTCACTTATATATGAGTCTCAGCAATTCAGAGCCTCTGGAAAGAAGACTGGTCTCAATGTGAGCTGTACAGAGTGGTCAACCATCCCAGTTTGCCCAGGTGAGAGAGTTCTTCAGGATGCTGGCCCTTCTGTGCTAAACCTAGGAAGGCCTCAGACAAACTGGGATGGCTGGTTGCCCTCAATGTAGAACAGTGAAAGAATTTACTCTGCTGTTACGAGCACTGGGCAGCTTGTTCCATCTGGCCCTTTTCTAAGCTGTGTCCCCTCCCTTTCTCCCTCCCCCTAGATAACCATTTTATTGAGATGTATAGCTCATGTACCATAAAACTCACCCTTGCAGGGCCAGCTTTGTGGTGCAGCAATAATGCACTGCTTAAGAAAAGCTGGTTTCCACATGGTGACTTCAGCTTGAATTCCCGGCCAGGTAAACATGAAACACTCCAGGCATGCATGCAAGTGCCTGAGATCCAACAGGCTGGAGGACTGAAAGTTATCACGTGTGACCAGACCCTGTGAACGGCACTCATCTTTCTCTTTCTCACATGCATACACATATACTCTATCATGAAAGAGGAAAAAAAAACCCTCCCGAAGTGTACAATTTAGCAGGGTTTAGCCTATTTTCAGAGTTGTATACTCATTGCCATTGCTTTTCCTCAAACTGGACAATATCTTGATTTATCTTCAAGTCTGCATCTTCTGTTTTCTACCAACTCAGCCCCTCTAGTATTTTTTTCTTCATTTAACGTATTGTACCTTTGACTTTCTATTTAGTTCCAGAACTCCTACTTAGTTCCTTCGTTTAAATCATTTTCCCCCTTATTGATATTCTTTATTTGGTCAGACATTGTTTTCATATTTTCTTTAATTTTTTAGACAAGTTTCCTTTAGTTCTTTGAGGCTATTTAATAATAATAGTAATAATACTGGTGATTTAAAGTCTTTGTCTAGTAAATTATACTCTAATGTTTCTCTGTCTCATAACTTTTCCCTGAAAATTGGCTATTATAAATGACATAACGTGGCAACTCTGGATGTCAGATGACCCACTCCCACAGTGTGATTGTTGCTGTTTGCCATTGCTACTGTCCATTTCATTAGTGACCTTCTTGGACTAATTCTGTAAAGTCTGTATTCCCTTGCAGGTCTGGCCACTGAAGTCTCTTCTTGGTTAGCAAAAACTCAGCTAATGACTGGGTGGAGAGTTCCTTAAATGCCTTAAAGCAGTAAGTCTCTCACCTCTTGCTAGAAGGTCATGTGTGTCTTGGAGGAGATATGCCTTCAGTGCTTCAGCAGTTTTCAACTGTGCCTTATGTTTTTCTTTTCATCGCATAGGACCTCAAGGTCAGCCACTGGAGAGAGATTAGAGTCTGCTACGGCTGGAAAGTCTTTGTTTTCCTATGGAAAAATGTGACATGACTTTCCTGACAACCCAATATACACCTCAGTTTGCTTATATGTTTCCCAGGTAAAAGACTTTTTGGGTTGTTTCTGATTTGGGGTCATTAGGCATAAAGCTGCTGTAAATATCTGGAAATAGACTTGTGTGTGAACACAAGTCTTATTTCCCTTAGATTAAAAAAAAAAAATCTAAGGGTTGGATTGTTGGGTTTGATGGTATAATAAATGTTTATGAAACTCAATAAGAAATTTCCCAATGGCTTTCCAAACTAGTTGTACCATTTTATATTCCTGTCAACAATGTATGAGTGTTCCTGTTGCTCTGCATCATTGTCAGTACTTGTATTATCACAATTCCTTAATTTAGTCATCCTAACTGGTATACAGTGGTATCTGATGGTGACTGTAATTTGCATTTCTCTGATGAGTAGGGTCATGAGGCACTTTCTAATGCTATTACTTGCCTTTCACATATCTTCTTTGATGACGTGTCTGCTCATATCTTTTACTCATTTTGCAACTGGTTGGTTTATTTTTACTGATGAATTTTCTGAGTTCTCCATATACATTCCAAAGTTAAGTTTTGATTTCAGATGTATAATCTTTGCTTCAAGATTCTGGTATGCTCCCATTGAGCATCTTGGCTCTGTACCTGTAACATGTTACCTACTTTGTATTATATATAATATCTATCTACTTACCTATCTATCTCCACATATACTCACGCACAGCTCCTAAGTAACTTGCCTTTCAGTTTAGCTCAAGAAACATATCCTTGCTCAGACACTGAACCAAGGAAAGAGAATTGACGAGCACATGGCCCTTACAATTGAGGAACTTTTGGTTTTAAGAAATATGGAACAGGGACTAGCAGATGGCATAATGGTTACATCACTGGACTCCCATGTAGTTGACTAAGGTTTGAGTCGCTAAACTGATGACTTAAAACTCATGCTGGGCAAGTGTGCGTGTATGCCTAAAATCCCTAGAGGAGAATGAAGGTGAAGGGATTGTGGCATGGCCATCCCCCTGGGAGGTGATTTCTTGCTTTCTGTCTCTTTTTGTCTCTCTGGCAAGTGCATGCAACCTATAGCAAAAATTTCTCTTAGAAAAAAAAAACATGGAATAAACTAGGATTAAATTTTAAAATATGTTAAGAATGACCACATATAATGCATCAGTTTTTTTGCTTGTTTGTTTTAGAGGTTTTGCCATCGAGCATATGGGCTCACCAGAGAGAGAGAGAGAGAGACAGAGTCAGTGAGAGGGAAAGTAAGAAATCACCTCACAGAAGAGGACCACGCTGCAATCCTTTCTTCACCATTCTCCTCCTGAGATCTTGGGCATGCATGTACATGTGCCCAGCATGATTTTCAAGTCACCAGGTTTAGGACTTTAACCATGGGTTGACCATATGAGAGTCCAGTGACATAACCACTATTCCATCTGCTGGTCCCAATACATCTGCTTTTTGTGTGTAAAATTACCTGTTCAGATCAATTGAAACATTTTCATGACTTTTTAAAGGTCATTCATTATCATTAGTAAATCTCATTTAAAAAAATTTTTTTTTCACATGAGAGAGCAAGCAAATGACAGACAGACTCACGCCCCTTCAAGAGGGTCTCACATCACAGTCTTCGTTTCGGCCTTCCCAGCCAGCCAAGAACATGTTGGTGTGTACAGGTTGACCCAGGAACTGAATCCTAATCTTCCACATGGCTCTGGCACCACAGAGGGGCACCCTGCTACTGTGCCATTGTGGTTGGCTCCTCTTCTTTGTAATAGTCAGAAATATTCCTCAATACAGCTCTTTCCTAAAGAGTCAAATACTCAGGAAGAATGCACTTTGCACCAAAAAGGTTTCTACTGCTATGCTAAATGGATACTCTCACGAAATGTGGTAAAAGCCAAATTTCAAAGCAAAACAAAATCACTGTGCCCAGCACACACTCATTCCCTGCTGAGGGGTAATAGCTATAAAACAGCCCTGAAAAATGTTTTACTCAACTACCATGTGAGTATCCATCTACAGAACTGCTGGGAGAATCTTCCTGAGCACAGAGAAAATTAACTTTCAACAGGAACTTAAAAAGCAATTGCAATTTCTTAAAATCCTCTAAAGCTGCATTTAAAAAAATGAGACTTAGCAACTCTCCTAGTTTTTAAAATTCATTGATTAAGACAATAAAAGTTGTGTTCATTTCAATATTAAGAAATTAAAATCTCCCTTGAGACTTTCTTTGCCCGGGGGGTAGGTTACATCTGTCAACTGCAAACCGGCAGGCCAGTTTGCAAACAGAAATTCTTTGCTGGATTGTGACATGTACAATCTTAATAATGGCTAGGGCTAAGAACGATATGATTATGTTTATTATTATCATCATCATCATCATCCCAGGAAACTAAAAATAGAATAAAAGAAACCATGAGCTGTAAGAGAAAAAGCACTTTAGATATAGTGCGCTGTAATTCCAGCCTCACGTGGCTGAGAATATCCGATGATACTAAAGAAAGGAAGAAAAGCGGCTTTTGTCAGTTTCCTCTAAAGCTTAAAAGTGACACCGTGTGGGTCAAAGGAGGATGGTCCACAAGGTCTGTTTCCCTGAGATACTGCCAGGGTGACCTTTGGAAGCAGCTGGTGATAAGCATGCATGGCTTTCTGGTTTTAGGGAACAGCAGCCCAGCTTCTACACAGGCAGCATGGCAGGACCCTCGCCTCTTCGATTCTTCCCATTGCAAATAAAATAACAAAGAGAAAAAAATAAAACCTGAGTGAAGACGGGATGGGAGAGGTCTGTGCTCAGGCTGGTAAGCTCCTTAGTGATAAAGTACAGTCATGATTTTCTTTTCTTTTACTTTGAAAGAAGAAAGAAAAAAGAGAGAGAGGGAATAAAGGGGAAAAAGAAAAGAGGAAGAATCCAAAATAGGCCACGGAAGTTCTCTGCCAAAGCGTAATTTTCATTTTCTTCAAGGCTCAGAACCAGTGGACAAACTGAAACTCCCTCAAGAGATGGAAGCAGGGCCATGGCTAATTATTACAAGTTAAATTTGCATATAATTGGCATGCTTTCCAGTTAAGACCATAAAAATACATGGTAACTGGAGTTCTGACAATGGCACTATATATTTAAGGGAGCATTTTGTATCTCTAAGTATAAAACACTCCTTACAACATCTCCAGGAGTTCCCAAGTTTATCACATTTGTACAGACACGAGTGAGGAGAGGGGTCCGAGGTCTGCTCCTAGCTCTACGAAACCTTATGACCTTGAGCATCTGACCTTGAGGTCTGGCCCATTCCTCTCTGAAATGGAGATAAAGATACTAGCTGTCAGAGATGTTTGGAGGAATTGATGATGCAATTATATATTTCAACTAATACATACCAGTTTTATTTCAGCAGCACTACTGAAACTGTACTGGCTACTTCCTGTGATGTTACCGTCTTTCTGAGTCCATGGACGGTCACACTGTGGGAATTATGAAGTGGTGGGGATGATGCCCGGAGAAGGTGGGAAACCGAGAGCCTGCCGAACTGAAGTCTCATTCTACCCTTTCCTGTTTTCACCGCACACCCACATGAGTGACTGGATTTTTCACATGTCATCCACATTTTTTTGTACTTTGAAGACACAGCCTGTCGGCCAGACTTCCCGCATTCGGGTGTTGGTGGCGCTGGGCCAAGCACTCTATCTGCATGTGTGTACTGAATGTCACAAAACACACAGCAAGAGATGGGATCGGCAGCAGCCACGCGGAAGGATGTGGACCCAGGCTGCAAAGAAGATCTTTTTCCTTCTGACTTTCTCTGTAAGAAATACCGTGATTGACATCTGGGAAGACCCAGGGGAGAAGGCTGCGCTGTGTGAGACAGGAAGGTATCCTGGGAGACACACACGTATGGTGGGGAAGGACAGAGGGCTACCACTGCCTGAGCGCTTCTTCTGTGCCAGGCACCACCCGACATGCTCAATGAACAGTGTCCGCGGTGGCCCTCCCTCAGTGCTTCTCATGAAGGGGGCTTCCCAGCCCCACTCTGGCAAGTAGGCCACTCAACACTCAGGGGGAGGGCAGGATTTGAACCTAGGCAGTCTGACTCCAGAGCCCATGAGCCACCTTTTCTTTTTAAATTGCCACTAGACATTTGTACTCTCCAGAGAGAGAGAGAGACAAAGAGACAGAGGGCGAGGGAGGTGGCAGTACCCTATGGGGCACAGTCATGCCACAATCTCTTCCACTTCTCCATCCTATTGGGATTTGAGGTACACATACATAGGCCATTAGGGCTGCGATCACACCGTGGTCAGCTGTGTGGATCTGACTCCCTTAACCACTAGGCTAGGTCTGGCCACAGCCATCTTAAATACACATGTATTCAATGTCTGCTCTGTGACGACACACTTCACTCCCATCAAGCTCTCCTTTCCATATGGTGGAGAGAGTAGTTACATTTAACTTAGATGTTTTGATCACATAGTCCTCCTTGAACATTACTATAGATATAAAATAAGAGTATTCCTATTAACGATCCTGAGAACCTTGACTATTTGTTTTTTGGTTTTTGTTGTTGTTTTGTTGTTTTTTTTTTTTACATCTCCCTCAAAGAGGAGGCCACTTCTCCCTGGTTTGTTTTGTGTTTTGTGTGGGTAAGCTAGTTCTGGCTGGGACGACACAGTTTTACTGTTCATGATCTTGAGATTACTCCTAAAATAAAATTAGCATTTGGTATAGAAACTTGTTAGCTTATTCATTTTTTTTTTAATTGAAAGTTTCAGAAGTTTCTACTGGTTCTTTGTAATCCTACTAGAAGAATCTGTACGGTGCCATTATAGCTTAAAGTGATCTCTGATAAAATTCTCAGAATTGATACCTGATCAGGCTTCAAAATGAAAATACCGTAGGATACAGAATACACATTAAAATAAAAATATAGGGGGCCATCAGGTGGCATGGTGGTTAAGGCATTGGACTCCCACATGGTCAACCAAGATTTGAGCCCCTGACCCAGAGACTTGAAAATCACACCAGCATGTGTGTTCAAAATCCTCAGACGAGAACAGAGGACAAGGGATTGCAGCATGCCATCCACCTCCAGGTCTCTTTCCTCTCTGTCTCTCTCTGGTGAGCGAACATATCCTATGGCAAAAACCTAAAAAAACAAGCAAACAAAATAAACAAAATTTTGCAAACTCTAAACTGTCCTGTGCTCCCAGCACTGACTGTTTAGACCAAGGATGCCTCATGCTCTCTCTGTCTATCCCTCTACTCCCTTTCCTGGGACCCAGTCCCTTCTCTTGACTTGCCTCCTGAACCATGCCACCCCCCACCCCTACAAACACAGCTCATCCACCTGGAGCCATTATTATTATTATTACTCCTCGCCCAAAGTTGTTTGCCTTCCTGTTTCCTCTCTTGGCACATGGCACGGTCAGCTGCCTCTCTCTCAAGATATATATCTCATTGCTATCATCAGCTCTCCCTGCCTGATGTCCCAGAGCAGTCATCACTGTTAAGCATATCTCGATAATTCATCCCTGATAGTTTATGAATCCACCCCCATCCTCCACAACACTTCTGAGCTTCTGCCATCACCAGCCTTTGCCTGGAATGTTGCTGCAACCCTCTCACTGACCTTGCTGACTCATGTCATGGCCTGAAGATCTATCCCTCACGCAGTCCATCGACCAGCAAAGGCTGATGAAAGGCCGGCTGGGAAAGCATGGCTGTCTACACAAATCTCTATGTGGTGAGCTATGCAACTGCTCACTGTGTTTGCAAAGACACAAAGAAAATGCCACCTCTGACAAAGCAGGGCTCAAGGCTGTCTCCAGCAGAGCCTCCTCTTGGTTCCTCGAGCTGCCTATTCTTCAAGTTCTCAGGTAGCCAGGAACATGGGCTCCAACAAGGTGTTTCAAAGAGAGAAGGAAAACTGCTGCACCCTTCAGAGAAACCAAGGAATGAGCACAGAGCAGGGGAGGGTGGCTCCCACATAAACAAGCAAAACAAACACCATTCTGTGTTTGAGAGTACACTGACAATATTATTATTATTATTTTCATATTTTAGTTTTTGCTATAAAGCACCAGCACTTGCCAGAGAGGGAGAGAGAAGGAAAGTGAGAAACCACCCCCCCCGACCCTGGGGGGGAGGGGGTGATGGCCACATCACAATCCCTTCTCCTCCATTCTCCTCTTGGGATTTTGGGCACACACATGTACCTGGTGTGATTTTCAAGGCACCATGTCTAGGACTTGAATTTTACTTAAGGCCAAGTGAATTTGTCTACTTTAACCTTTATACACCTACTGGCCCAGACCATATTATTTTGTAGAGGACGTAGTTGCAAGTTTTATAGAGGAGTCGGTTGCAAGTTCTCAAAATACTTTTTCAGAGGCTATTATTTTCATTCTACAGAAGAGTAAGAGGAGGTCACAGAGGTTAAGTAACTTGCCCATGACCATATAACTAGTGGGTTGCCATGGTCATGGGAGACCATTCCTGGACCACCGTGCTAGACTTTCACACAGTAGTTCTGCCCAAGAATCCTCATAGTCACAACCTGTCCCTGGCCCTGACCCAGCACAAGTGGACGAGTATTGCTTCTAGTTCCGGCCTGGCCCACAGGTATCAGGAAGTGCCTGGTTCTCCACTAAGCATGAGATACAGAGGATACAGGGAAAGCGCAGGAGAGACAGTGCTCAGTTCCGATTGTCTTATTCTGATCCTATTCAAGTTCACAGAAACGCACTCAGTGCAGTAAGCCTTTTCCTAGAAGACACATAGGAAATAGCTACTCTGTCACTCTGTCCCTGTAATCCCTCGTGTATGTGTGTGTGTGTGTGTGTGTGTTTCCCTCAGAGTTCACCTCTGAGGCTCACCACTCTGCCCCATTCACATCATTTACTCTGATGCTTTGATCAATGCCAAGTGGTAAAAGACTGCTCTAAGATAGCTACAGATATGGGGTCCTCGGTTGTCCACGTCCCAAAGGAGGGCCGCAGCTGAGGGGTCAGGGCAGAAAAATGAGGGGTGTGGAACACACATTTTCTCTCTCGCTCACGCTCTCTTTAAGAATCTGGCACGAAGAGCTCATCTCCTTCGTGCCAGTGATGGAACAGTAGCGACTTGGCAACCGTCTCAAGCCAGATGTCCCCTCATCTGGCTGCCTTGGCTGGTTAGTTGTTTGGAATGAGCAGCCCAAACACAGTGCAGGCGGGGCTCCTGTAGGGCTGTGGGGGGGCAAAGCTGGGTGACATCCTGAGCAATGCCTGGTTTCCCGGGGGTAGAGGGGGAGAAGAGAGGAGAAGAGAGGAGGGGAGGGGAGAGAAGGGGAGAGGTCACCTAATAGGCAGTACTCTGCTTAGGTGCAGGCTGGCCCAAAGGCAAAGGGGCTGTGGGGATGGGAAGACCTGCTTACTCCCGTCCTGCCCTCCCGAGCCGTGCCCTCTGGTGCTGGGGTGTAGACACGTCTTGCTACTTTATGAGGAGTCCAGGCTCCTGGTGCAATTGGGATCCCATCAACAATAGAGCACCTCCCCAGAGTCTCTTCCGTGGCTCCCCACCCCGTACCCAGGACCACACACTGAGAAACAGATGGGAGGGAGTAAAGGCAGCCTAGCCCCTACATCTGGAGGCCTGCAGCAGTGGCCAACCACAGCTTGGCCCTCGTGGGCTTCACCTGGGCCAAGCCCAAAGCCATCCATGGGAGCCATGGGGCACGGTTGTGCTGCTTGTCTAACACGGCAGTGAGGAGACACCCTCGGCTGTGGAGTGAGGAGTGGGGAAGCTGTGCCTGGATCAAGGACTTGCCAGGCTCACAGTCTGGTGGCCAAACACTGAAGGGTCCTGGGCAGTGGTGGGTGGCTCAGGGGAGCACACCTGTCGATCTGGAACGAGCTCTTTGCCTCGTCCCTGAAGCCCAGGCAGGTGCCTTCAGAACTGAGCCATGCTCGGCTGTGTGTGTGTGTGTGTGTGTGTGTGTGTGTGTGTGTGCACGCACATCAGCGTGTGCTAGGGGAAGGCGGTGCTGTGGTACAACCTGCCAACAAGCCCATTTCGGTCACCATCTGCCATGGAGACCCCGAGCACCTGTCAGAAACAGCTGCTGGTGGCAGATCGTAGGTAAGGGAGGGAGCAGCCCCGCCCTGGGCTAGCCTATTGCAGGGAGCTCATGGCCGGGCCCCAAAGGAATGCCAACTGTTCTCTTTGAAGCCCACCCCACCTGAGTGTGATGAAATGCTGAGTTGTCCCTTCACTTCCTCGCAGGGAGGACTTGATGAAGGGCCCTTTCCTCACCTCCCTGGTAGCAGGTTCCAGTTGTTTGTCACAGGGCTGACAAGACACACATGCAGGATTCCCTATCAGGAAGAGAATAATTCCTTGTCTGGAGGTGTGAACCCAAAGACACCCATGGTGGGGGAGAACAGTCCCCGCCGTGTGGGCCCAGGGCTGAGGCGATGGACTGGGATGAGAGTGAGAGGGCCACCCAGCTTGAGGTTGGGTCCTTGGTCCTTGGAGCATTTTCTTCCAGGTATAGTTCACTGACATAAAGGAAAATATCTTTAATATTATCATGCCTTTTAATTAAAAAAAAAAAAATCTTTCTTTTTTAAGGTTGTTTCTTCAGCGACAGACAGATAGGTACTCCCAACAGGGTCTTCAGCCTGCATTTTACCCCAAAACTTAGGTAGTTCAGATCATGGGCGCACATGCACCATCCCCACGCTCCCCGCCAGCCTGTGCTAGGAGGCCTCAGAACACGAACACAGGTCTTCCGGTCTGGGTCCAGCACTGCAGAGCGTTCAGTTACTCACTCTGCAGCACCACGGATCAGAGAACTCTTTCTGAAGTGAGTGCTGTACTCACCTACCTCATGTTT